TAGTGTATAGTACTAATTATACTCAGGTCTGTTTGGGAGTTGGTTTTTGGAGGGTTTTGAAGGGGAAGACTTTGAAGGGTTTCATCTATATCTTGAAATGTTTTTGATATTTTTAAAAATTTCAAAAAGCAATATGATTTTATATGCTAATGTAGTATATAATTTTTAAAACTTTTTAAAAATCTCAAACACATTTCAAGATATAGACGCAACCCTCCAAAACCTTCCCTTCCAAAACACTCCAAAAACCTAATCTCAAACAGACCCTTAAGCTATTGTGTCCCTAGCATCTGGGGTGAATGATAAATATATGAACCTTTTTGCAGACTTAATGATGTTTTTGATTTGGTTGTTTAGTAATTCTCAAATGCGAGTAATGTTGCATAAACTGTACTTCTCTTTTTCTATAGTATAATGTTTATATCTCTGTTGCTGTAGATGTTCAAAGTACAGGAATGTTCCAGAAGAGCAATGGACCAAGGATTACAGTTGGTATCTTAAATGACAACAAGCAAAACGTAGATGTCTTAAATAACGGCTTCCGTGTTGTGGCTTCAGCTGCAACTGGTGATGAGATTGTCAAGGAGTCATTTATGGAATTGAAAGTTGATGAGTTAATTGTAGAGATAATGTCCACACATAAGAACCCAGGCATTCAAAGTTTATATGATGCTATTCGTGTACTTTTGACGCCTGATGACAATCGTGTTCTAGCTTCCCAAGTAAGTTAGAGCAGCTTGAATTTGCATGTCATCTTATAAATTGAAGGAATCTAGTGTATAAACACCCACACAGTATAAGAAATAACATGAAATTAACTTAATTTGTTAAACAAGAGGGTGTTCCATTTTTTTCTAAAACTGCTATCATTTAGTTATGCGTACATCACAACTAGAAATGGTACATTACATTACATTTTCAGGTTTATGGATATGCACGAAAATTCGCTAAGATTGGAATTCCAGAAGCCATTGTGGAATCTCTGCTCACAGGACTTGGCTCACCCGACCTAATTTCAGCATGCATCACTTTAAAGGCCACTGCAGTAAATGTAAGGGAAATATTGATTTTCCATTCAAAATTCAAGAGTTTATAACCATTGGCTCCAAAAAGTTTTATGTATAGTTTTTTGGTATTCTATCTATTCTTATATACAAGTCTTTTACGGTTGTTTCATACAAACAAGAAATAGTTTTGATTAATAATTTAAGTGCAAAAGTAATAATAGATAAAGTAAGCATATAATTGACAAAAATTTGTCAATGCAACCTTGAAATTTGAAATTGACAGATTAAAAAGAATATTTTTTTTCCCAAAAAAATTGATAATTGAAAAGGAACGGGTATTTATGGTTACTGGTGCTAAAAACACAAGTCATTAGTGTCATCTTTGATTCATTGTATATATTTTTTTACTTGTGCAATTTTATATATATATATATGAAGGCCTCCTTCTTCATGAAGAAAGTGGGTGACAATGCAAGTGTGCATATTAATGGTAAAAACAAACTCAGGGCCAATGATGAGCGATACTTGTCTATGACATGGTTGCTTTATAAAAGGCAATGAGTTGAGTTTTTCAAGAATTTTTAATGAGGGTGGCTGGAACTCGAGCTTTGTTCTGTTCCCACCCTTAGATTTTTAATGCTTTTTAAGGTTTAGATTTAGCATGTTATGTTGTGTTAGGCTTGTTATAATCATCAAATTGAAACACTTAAACAAGTATATACTGTCTCGTATTATCTCCATTGAGTATTTATAATCTGTTGCAGGATGAAATATGTAAATCAATTGCTGAAAAAGGTGGTATTGATGTAGTACTCAAATGTATAGATGACAGTGGCGAACAAGGCAACGCAGATGTAGCCAAAGTTTGCTGCTCATTACTTTCAAAGGTATAAGTTGAAGATGCTTCTCTAGAAATGCCCCTTGGTTCTTTTATTATTATCATTTATATTTATATTTATTTTTTTATTAATTTCTAAGCAAAGTAGTAGTATTTTTCACAATCATTAGTTGTTTGAAGCGATTGATTGTGTTTTCTCCTTTTCAGCCGTTTTCTAGAAATGCCCCTTGGACCTTTTATTATTATTATTATCATTTATATTTATATTTATTTATTTTTAACAATTTCTAAGTAAAATAGTAGTATTTTTTACAGCCATTAGTTTTTTGAAGCGATTGATTGAGTTTTCTCCTTTTTAGCCGTTTTAGCGGTTATTGGCTCACCCTTTCTTCTTGAGCTGGAACTTTTCTTTGATTATTTATAATTCACATGTTTCAAATTTTTCTGACCAGCACCTGAATATGATTTAATATTTGTTTTCCTATATATCCCTTGCATCTTTAATTTGTTCACATAAATAAAAAATATATGTTACTCATTATGTGGGGAATATATAGCTGTTAACCTTGCGTAAAAGCCGGAGTTAGAAGTCAACTATTCCAGTCCAACCAACCACATTTACCTGTCTTTTGAATGGTACAATTTGGCCTGAAATACGAGTTTGGCCTTCATTTCTTAGGCATGTCATATGTTCATAAACTTATATGTAATATATATTACGGTGTGCATATCATGTCATACTTGAGTAATGTGGGTAAAAATGAAACAATCTTATGGCCCGCAAGCGGTTGTAGCGGCCACTAATTGCAGCCCTAAACCACCATCTCAACTGCTTTTGCGTCCGTTATTAGAATTTTTGGGAATAAATTCCTCATTCTTTTTTTCTAAACAATTGTCTTTTTTTATGGGTATAAATTTCAATAAGAACTCTTTTGAAGTGTAATGATATGTTCTTGCTCACAAATGATCGTTTGGCTCTTCTTCCTACTCTTAGTTCAGTTCTGTATTATTTTTTCCTCTTCTCTGCTCAAGGTTGATTACCCTATCCTTTAGGCTTTTTAATTGTTAAGTATGATGATCTCGTTAATTTTGTGTATTAGTCTATTTTTGAGTATTTATGTTTACTTTGTACATTGGTTTTTAGTCTTTGCAACATATAGGGGCTATCTTGCTATCCGCTTTTAACGTTTTAGGGGGCCGGTGCTACGCAACACTATCCGAGATTAAACACAAGCTATCCTCTCCACTACACTCGTCTCGGAAAATATAATTTGCCTAGCCTGGCATTATTTTTTACTTTAAATATGTGGTTTTTGTTTTCTTGAGTTGAATAACACCTTTATATGTTTATTTGATTAGTTAGCAGGAAGTGATGCAAACAAGAGTGCAATTGTTGGGAAAGGGGGTATGGATAAGCTAATCAAGCTTTCAGCCAGATATGCCGATGATCCTTCTGTTTTGCAAGAGGTGAGAACCTTAAACAGTTCAAACCATCAGTCTTAATCATCCTACTCCAAGTATAATTTTTTTCATTGGCAGATTAATTTCATGGTAACTTATACACTGATTTATTCTTCCGTCTTAGGATCTATGAAGCATGGACACTTCTAGGAGCAGACGTGTCGCGGTGTCTGACATATGTCAGTGTCAGACACTTGTATGGCACGTGTCGAAAAACTCAAACAAGTGTCGGAAAAGTCAGACTAGTATCACCAAAAAATTGATTTTTCTTTACTTTGACACTCTTTGAATTGGGTGATTGACATTCACATGACAGTCATATAACACTTGTCAGACCATTCAGACAGGTGTTTCAAAAGAGAATTTGTTTTTTTCTTTACGTCAACACACCTTATGCATTTTTGTGGACAAATCTCGTACACATAAAATAGTTAAACATGTATGTATTGAAACAATGTTATGAATGAAGAATTGAAGATATTGACTTTGATTAGAATATTGTAACTCTTTTAATAATAGATGGATAAATAAAGGCTAAATAATATCATATATGTAGCGGTGTCGGTGTCCTATGTTTTTGAGATTATCAGTGTCAGAGTGTTTGTGTTGTGTTGCAGTGTCCGTGTCGGAATTTGTGCTTCATAGCTTAGGATTGCTATTTACTATACATGTAGGTATGAATTTGTATACAAGTATATTTTGTCGGGATTGATATCATTATATCCCGCACATAATTTTATATATACAATTCCTGATATACTTGTTTATATCCTTTAAGTTCGGATATGCGCGTCTTATATATTTTACTTTATTTGTGATGCAGATCATGTCTATCATTTCTGTGCTTTCGCTAAGATCCCCGGAAAATGCAGCCCGAGCCATTGAAGCTGGTGCTGGTGACCTTGCTATTCAAGCCATGCAGAAATTTCCTGCAGCACACCAAATGCAAAGAAACTCCTGTCTTATGATCAGAAATTTAGTAGCAAGAAACCTAGAGAACAGGTAAGTTCATAATTTGTGATGTTTACAGTACAATTAAAATTCGAGTTTTTGCTAACCATGTGGCACAATCTGATCGCTTATAAATATCTTGAAACACGTGTCAGCATTCGTTATGGTTTTCTAGCTTAATAATTCCCGCTTACACAATTTATATTGTACAGAACTATTCTTCTTAATAATGGAATTGAGAAATACATAAGGAAGGCAAAGCAAACACATGCCAACTGTAAGGAAGCTGCTACCGATGCCTTGAGGGATTTGGGGATTGACAGTTACAACTTGTAGCAGATAACTTTTTCTGTCTATTAATTTTTCGTGTAACACAATCAATATTCTTATTGTTTATGAAGAAAACATGAGTGCGTAGTGGTTTGTTTCTTTCTTCTCTTTACCAAAATATATGTATGTAATTTTTTGAGTGGCAAAATCAAACGTTAGGTGTGTGATGTTATTGGGAGAGTTAAACTCATGATCTTTTTACAAAAACATTGGATATGTGCAATTGATTGGATTCATTTGTCTATCTATCATTGAATAAAGCTAATAAAAAAATCATGTCTTATTTCCTTGTCATGAAACTCGTAATTTATTTATGAAACAATCTTTTCTTCAAACTAGAAGAAAAACACCAAGTTCCAACTTTAATTACTAATTTTTATTATTGGTGCACAATACAAGATCACATTGAAACATCAATCACGGCCCTCTTGCACATTCCTTGTAGCACAACAACACATTGAATCCTTGCACACTCCTCTCCAATAGCCCTTCCCACTCTGTGTGCAATAGGTATAACAATCAGGTTTTGCTTGGCCACATTGGATAGGACATGTCCATGTTTCAGATATTACCCTTCTACCTTCTGCTCTGGGCATACCTAGTGAGTCATAAATAATTAGTAAGCATAAGAAAAATAATTAATGGAAGGTTTAGATTCTATTCTACAGATTGTTTAGTACATACCTATTGAGAAAAGAAAAACTACAACCATGGCAGCTACCGTAATAAACTTCTCTCTACTCGTCATTTTTTAATTGTGTCTTCTTCCTCTATCTTCAATGGTCCTATGTAAATATGTAATTTAATAAGTAAATTTGTCATGTTTGTGTGTATATATATATATAATAAAGTTGTCAAAAAAACATAATAAACAACAATTAAAATATAATAAATACTTTACTTTAATAATACACAATAGACAGGATTTAGATTATATTAATAGAAGATTATATAATTTTGTTAGTATTTGATACTCCCTAAACCTTACAATAAATGATTCATGACGATTGCACACATATTAAATAACCATACTATATATATATAAGAAAAATAAAATAATATTTTTACTAATTAGTCTCATTTATTAAGTTTATTCATATAAATATTTTTAATGTATTTATCATTAACATAAATATAAAGTAGGGATGTCAGTTTGGACCTGTTAATGGGGATCCCCGCGGGGAACGCCCCGTTCGGGGTCCCAAAGATGGGGAATTTTCCCCCGTGGGAGCGGGGATGGGGAGAAAAATTCCCCCGAGAGCATTTCGGGGACGGGGACGGGGAATACACCCCCCGCCCCGTCTATTATTTTAATATAGTTAATTTAATATATATATTTTAGATTAGGTTTTTTAGTCATTTCCTTTATGTTTATTTATAAAAATAAATAAATAAATATTCATGTATTTATTAAGAGAGAGAAATGTAAATATTAGACCCTAAAAAAGTTGAAGCGTTTCATTTTCTTCTTTCAGACATTTAGAGTCTCACACGTTAGACTCCTTTTTTTCTTCTCCAGTCAAATCTCCATTCATCTTCCTCTTCCAATTCCATCTTCTCTATTTGGTGTGCTTCCATTATTCACAGCTCTTACAATTTCATCAATAAGGTTTGATTTTCATAAATTTGTTCATGTAATTATTTATAGGAAAAAATAGATTATTTCTCTTTGATTCTCATAAATCTGTTTATATTATTGTTTATAGAAAAAAGTAGATTGTTTCTCCTTGATTCTCATAAACCTGTTCATGTAATTGCTTATAGGAAAAGTTGATTATTTTGATTAAATTTAAATTAAATTGTTTAGAAATTTTAGAGTTATCAAATCATTTGCATATTAAAAAAATATAAAATAATCAAAAAATTACTCATTTTTATCTCCTTTTAAATATTTTTGTGTTCATTTTTTATCTATACTATGCATTTGTAATTAAAATAATGTCGTCAGTTTTTCCTTAAAAAATATTAAAATATACTTTTCCTATTTTTTATTAATATATCACACTATAATTTAATTTTCTATATTAAACAAAAAAATATTACTTTTTAAATGAATCAATATATCATGCTATCACGGTATCACCCATAAAAAAAACCAAATATCTTATATTTCTAATTATTAATGAAATAATAACATATAAACAATAATATATCATGCTATCACCCATAAAAAAAAAATATATCTTATATTTCTAATTATAAAACCAAAGCCATTAAGTGAAATAATAACATATAACTTTTTACACGAGTAAATATATCATGTATATAGGTAAATAAATGTATTCTTAATGTATATAATTAATTAATATATATTATTATTTCTAATTGAAAAGTTACAGTAAATAAGGCATATTTAGAAATATGTGTAATGCATCATATATTTAGAAATATAAGATTTTTCTTATTAATTATTTTTTGTGTGAATTTCATGTATTTACTATTTCATTTATTTATTATTTTTTCATATATTTATTATTTTTGTTCTACTTCCATGTAGCCTTTTAAAATTTGTGTTTGTGTGTGCCAGGTTTTTGGTAAAAGAATGGTTGGTGAAATTCAATCATCTAATAGTCCTAATGTTGCTTTGGAAGGGAATGAAGTTCCTATAGAAAGTAGTGGAGTTTCACTCACACAGGAAGTTCAATCTACTCCAAATGAAATAAATATAGAAAATCAAGATCCTGAAGCTCCCGTTGAACCCACTACAAGTCCTAACAAAAGGGGATTAAAATCAGATGCTTGGCCCTATTTTAAAAGGCAAAAAATAGGAGGCATTTGGAAGACTATATGCAAATCTTGTGATAAGAAAATTGGTGGTGATACAAAAAATGGTACTAAACATTTATTTGATCATATTAGCATATGTCCAAAACGCACAGAGAGAGGTCCAAAACAAGCCATGCTTAAAGTGACAGAAAAAAATCCGGAAACAGACATGAATCATTTGTGGTTGGAAATTATACATTTAATCAAGATGTTTCTAGGAATGAACTCGCGAAGATGATTATATTGCATGAATATCCCATCATGATGGTTAACCATATTGGTTTTAGAAATTATAGCCATTCTCTTCAACCTTTGTTCAAGATAGTTTCTCGCAACACCATGAAGAATGATATAATGAAGTTGTATGAAAGTGAGAAGTCAAAGCAAATGAAAATACTTGCAAAGAATAAAAGCCGCATTGCAATAACTACTGATATGTGGACTGCTAGCAACCAGAACAAAGGATATATGTCTGTTACAGCTCATTACATTGATGAAAATTGGATTTTGCAGAATCGAATCATCAGGTAACTTCTCCCTTCCATTTACGTTATTATTATAATATAGTTATTTTATGTGATATTTATTATAATTTATTTTTAGGTTCATTTATGTCCCTACGCCACATACTGCTGAGGTCATTTGTGATTTTTTGGTAGATTGTTTGATGGATTGGAATATTGATAGAAAATTGTCAACATTAACCGTTGATAATTGTAGCACCAATGATGCTCTGATTGACCATTTGATTGATAAGATGTCACCTTCTTCTTTTATTTTAAAAGGGAAATTGTTTCATATGCGTTGTTGCGCCCACATATTAAACTTGATAGTGAAAGATGGCATGCAAACAATTTCTAGTTCAATTGAAAAGATTAGGGAAAGTGTCGGTTTTTGGGTAGCAACACCAAAGAGGGAGGAGAAATTTAAAGAAACTTGTAATCAATTGAACATGACTTATGAAAAGAAGCTTGCACAAGATTGTAGAACAAGATGGAACTCTACTTATTTAATGCTTGCTTCTGCATTGCCTTACGAACAAGTTTTTAAACGTTTAAAACAACGCCGTGATTCCCAATATAAGTGTGCACCAAGTGAAGAAGATTGGAAAATGGCAAGAGAAATTTGTGACAAGTTGAAATTATTTTTTAGTGTCACTGAGTTGTTCTCGGGTACTAAGTATCCAACATCAAACATTTATTTTCCCAAAGTTTGTCAAATAAGATTAGCTTTAAGAAAGTGGGAAGATTCTTCTAGTGATACTATACAAAGTATGGCAAGAAGTATGATAGTGAAGTTTGACAAATATTGGAGTTTGATTAATGGGGTGATGGCAATAGGGGCTGTTTTGGATCCTAGATATAAAATAACTTTGTTGAATTACTTCTTCCCACTTATGTATGAGAATAATGCTCCCAAAGAATTGGAAAAGGTAATACAAATGTGTGAAGATTTAGTTGAAGAATATCAACCAAATAATGATATGGTTCCTACAAGTAGTGAAGTTGGTGCATCAACATTGGTAGATGACATTGATGTCACAAGTCAAGATTGGGAGAAGGCTTATTCGGAATATGTGATGGAAAATACTTCAACTACAAATGTCAAGTCAGAATTTACTTCCTACTTGGAAGATGGTGTCTTGCTCGATAAACAAAAAAAGGAAAATTTTGACATCTTAGGATGGTGGAAACAAAATGGTTTGAAATTTCCAACTTTGCAAAAGATTGCAAGGGACTTTTTAGCAATTCCTATCTCTACTGTTGCTTCAGAGTCCGCCTTTAGTACTAGTGGTCGTGTTTTAAGTCAACAACGTAGTAGGTTGAAGGAAGACACTTTAGAGGCTTTGATGTGCACTCAAGATTGGATCCGAAAAGATATAAAAGGTAATATATTTTTATCTTTTACAAGATTAATTGAAAAGGATTTTTAAATTTTAATTTAGCTATTTGTTTCTTAGGTTATTCAAAAACGTTGACTCAATTCGAATGTGTGGATGAAGATATGGATGATGATGATGATGATGATAATAAGGTAATTTACATATTAGTGTTGATTACCTTTTAGTTTTTAAAGTATTTTTTTAAGTAAATATAATTATTGATTGTTTACTTTTCGTAGGAAAAAGAAAGTCATATCTAATTGTGGAATGAGGAAGAAGACCTTGCAAGGAGAAGTTGGAAAGAGAGACATGATTGATCATTACTTGTTTGGATATTTTGCTTAATATTTTAGTTTATTTATATGTAACTTTGTTTTAAGTATTTTGATATTTCTACTTTACGTGTGTTATCAATTGAGCAAATAGAGATATGTTGACTTTTGCTTTTAGTTGACTTATTATGAAGTATTTTTTAGCTTTTCAAGCATACTCATGATGCTAAATTTTATAATTATCCCTTATTAGTTTTGATGAAGTATAGTTTTTTAAGCATAATTATGTTGTTGGATTTTTTTTAGTTGTTTAGGCATATTGTTACTTTAAAAAGTATTATAGTTCATTTTGTTGAATTTTATAGCATTTTATAGAAATTTATAAAAAAAATATTATTATTTTGTGTTCCATTAGTATTTTTAATAAAAAATAATAAATGTCAAATACTAGTATTTTTTAATAACATAATAAATATGTGAATTCTTTGTGCTTTTTATTTTTATAGAAAATATAAACATTTTAAAAAAATAAAATATTAATGAATAAATGTAGGATCTATGGGGATCCCCGCGGGGAACGGGGATCCGCGGGGAACGGGGATGGGGATAGAAATTCCCACGTGACGGAGATCGGGGACGGGGACGGGGAATGAATTTGATGGCGGGGAAAAAGATGGGGAAGTGTCCCCCCGGCCCCGCCCCGCCCCATTGACATCCCTAACATAAAGTAAAACTTATCGACTTGTGATGCAATATATTAATTAAAAGATATAATTAATTATTCTTTCTTTCTTATATTAAAAATTGAAAGAATTATTTATTTTATGA